TTCAGGGTCCACATTTAGGGAGAAGTAAAAGAGCCCTATTAGAATCATTGACATTTGACCTACAGGATTGTCTGATCTTGTTACTTTCTCAAAAGTTTAGGTAACGCTTTTTCAGGTACAAGCTTTCTACCCCTGGGTTCAGTGGTTACACAAATGAATTTGCCGTAGACTAATTTTTATTTCAGTTATAACGAAAGACTTGGGAGGACACTTAAGTAATGGTTAAGCCGAATAGGTTGCCTCCCTTCAAAATCAGATGTTTCTGATTTCATTTCAGTTGTTTGGCATATTGAATGATGACACATTCAAGTCAAAACAGCAAGATCTCACACACTTTTATTGATCTTTTATTGATCAATTGCTCTGATTATAGAAATCTGCTATAAAAGGATAAAACAGGAACTAGACGTAGGGCCCCAATGTTTCAGGATAAAACATCCTTAGCTCTGCTTGACCTCAGGTAATTCACAGTTTTCCAATCACGCAGTATCAAATTTACCTCATAGCCAGACTCAGGAATAGCTAGGTGGGTAACATTTCTTTTCAAAGGAACACAGTGGGGAAACTGACCAGGAGGATCCCATTTTAGATTGAGGCTAAAATTGTCCTCTCAGCTTTTCCCAATGCTGACTTCCCACCAGTATCATATTCTCTCTGAGTAGCTTATGGAATTTCTCTCAGATGTTGGATTATTGACTATTGATTATGGATGGATTATTATCATTCATCAGACAACTGAAAATAAAATAATTTACAGTCCCATGAACTTTTACCTTAAACAGCAAGTTTTACTAATCACAGTTTAAAGAAAACTTTTCCAGGATTTACACTTCAAATTTAAATTTGTCCTAGTGCAAAAGCTAATAGAGATTATTTCTATATACTTGCAAATTCTCAGCAAGCCAAGTCCATTGTTTAGGAACTCCATAACCCAAACAAGCTTTTTCACAAGTTTACAGATTAAAGCAATAACCAACAATGTTACAGTTTTCATAAGTGATAGCCAAATTCTTTTAGCTATAACCAAATTATGAAAAGTTGCCTGATATAACTGATATAAAAGTTTACCTGTTTGAAACTTAAAACAAACACATTACCACTCAGGTGACTTCTATTTTGTTAAATGCATTTCCAAATTACTTTACGCAGAAAATCAGCATCTCATCATTAACATGTTAAAACTACAATTTTAAAAGAGTGGGCTTACCTGAGTTCAGAGGCTGGCCAGCTTCTTTACCTTGACCCATCTCCCTTCCCTCTCTCCCCAAGGTGGCTGAGGGTGGTGAGCAGGATATGCTGAACCTGGGTGATGCTTCCAGGTGAAGGTTGCCCCAAGGCCCACAGTCATTGACAGTGTGGCCCATGCTGTAGCTGTTGCCCCTCCCCCTCCTTCCTTTTTGTAGGTGGGGGAGGGCAAATTCAAAGGTGTGGGGAGTGGGAAGGGTGAAACTGTTTTCTCTTGTGAGAGGGGTTAACAGAAATACCCTCTTGACTCAAGGAAAATGAGGGGGAGAAGGGAGTGACCAGGGTTGTAAGGAGGTGTTTCAAAACTCCATAAAGATTCATCACAAAACCTCCAGAATTTGCCAAGATATTTTTAGCTGTTCTAACTTTTCCCTGTAGCCTCTATGAAGCAGCATCCAGGAGTGTAGAGGGAAGGGAGTAAGTAAGCCTCAGGGAACCTAAAAGCACCTGCAGCTTTCCCAATTCCCCAGCATTGAGAAAATTGACACTATTGGGCATAAGCTTACAGAGAGGGTGTCCATCCTTGTCCTCTATGCTGCAGAAGGTGTACCCAGGTCCATGGCCTGGAACCAAAGCAGTAGACTGAGAGCCTGAGAGCGTCAGGCTGAGTGTGAGACAGCCTCTTAACTGTTTGTCCAAAAAGCACCTTCAAGCCTTCTTAGGTGCTTGGAGAGTGATCCCAACTGCAGGGCAAAAAAGAGGGGGAAGGCTTACATATCTTCCAGTCTTGGCTGGAGAAGAGCTTGGGGTTAGGCAGTTTCACCATATGGGCCACCAAAATGTTGAGCCTACAGGGTGCTGGGACCCTAAAATATTGAAAGCAAGAGACTGGGGTCTTGCCCAAATGAATTTGACCAAAACCTTCTTTTCTTTTAGTCAAGGCAAGGTGTATTAGAACATCGAAGTGGGGTGGAAGTGGTGAGGTGAGCAAAATTTTAAGAATCCACCATATTGGCCAGACTCTTAATGAATCTAAGCATTTGTATTGCTAATGCAAGAGGGCCAGATTTTAAGAATCCAAGCCTACTACATCTCTTATACCTGTTCTTTTGCAGAGAGTTTTCTTCATGCCTGAAATACACTCCTATCTCACTTTCCCCTCATAGAGTCTTTCTCTTCCTTTACCTACTCACCAATTCCTTTATCTCCTCAAGGTGCCCTCCCTAGAGCTTCCTCTCCTTATTGGCAAGTCCCTTGCAGATTCAACCATTTCTTGAAAAGCCTAAATGATGGACCCTTCACTCCCAACTCAACGGACTGTCCTGAAATATTCTCTTTCTTTCCAGAAGCGTTGCTCCAGGAACCTTTCCCCAGCACAAATACCCCCATTCACTTTCCAGTGTCCCACTATATTTTTCTTCATTTATTAGAAAGTAAGTACCTTGAGGGCAGGGACTGTCTTGTTCATTTGAGTTTATACTCCCAGCACTAAACACAATTCTTGGAAAATGTTAAGTTCTTAATAGATACCCCTTTCCTTTTCCCCCCTCCCTCCCTCCCTCTGTCTCTCATTTCCTTCCTTCCTTGCTTCCTTCTTTGTTCCTTCCTTCCTTCTTTCCTTCATCTATTTTTCCATATAGTTATCTCTCCTTCATTCTATTAAAGTACGGATTAATCTATCTACCTATCTTCCTTCTGCCTGGGGCAGACTCTCATATGGCATGAACTGAAGTCTCTTTGACATACTAGTAGTCTTCTTCTTCATGCTCTCCTTTTGATCAATGTGTTTTCTCAAATATGGCATCCAGAATTGAACACAATGAACCAGATATGGTAGGATAAGGTAGAGTATGAAGGTCTTGGCTTTATGCAATTAGTGGGGCCAAACTAAATTTTAACCCACTCCTTGCTTGGTACTAGACGTAGAACTCTTTTTTAAAATAGTATTTTATTTCCCCCTAATTCCATTTTAAAGCAATATTTAACATTTTTTAAAAAGTTTTGTGTTCCCAAATCTATCCCTCTCTCTGTCCCTCCCCTCTCCTTCCCTGAGACTGTAAGCAATCCAATATATTTTATGCACATGCAATCATGTAAAACATTTCTGTATTAGTAATTTTGTACAAGAAGACTAGAATAAAAAAGAATGAAAGAAAAAAAGATACAGTGAAGAATAGCATGTTTCCATCTGTATTCAGACAGTGTCAGTTCCTTCTCTGGAGGTGGATAGCATGTTTCATCATGAATCCTTTGGGATTATCTTGAATTGTTGTGTTGCTGAGAATAGCCAAGTCTTTCGCAGTTTTTCTCATACAATATTGTTATTACAGTGTACATTGTTCTCCTGGTTTTGCTCACTTCACTTTGCATTAGTTCACTTAAACCTTTCCAGGTTTTTCTGAAATCATCCTGCTTGTCATTTCTTTTAGTGCAATAATATTCCATTACGATCATATATCACTGCTTGTTTAGCAATTTCCCAACTGCTGGGCGTTCTTTCGACTTCCAATTCATAGCCACAACAAAAAGAGCTGCTATCAATATTTTCTTACAAATAGGTCCTTTTCCCTTTTTTTGTTGCCTTTGAGATATAGGCATAGCAGTAGTATTGCTGCATCAGTGGCTATACACAATTTCATAGTCCTCCAGGGTTAGTTCTAAATTGCTCTCCAGAATGGTTGGATCAGTTCTGAGCTCCACCAGTAATGTGTTAGTGTCCCAGTTTTCACACATCCCTACCAACATTTATCATTTTCCTGTTTTTCATCATAGTAGCCAATCTGATAGGTATGAGGTGGTACCTCGGAGTTGTTTTAATTTGCATTTCTCTAATCAATAGTAGACATAAAACTCTTAATGCAGCCTTAGCTCACATTGGCTTGCCTGGCCTGGGATCTGTTTCTCCATTTTTAATATTCCTTCCAATCTCACAAACCCCGTGTTAAATTTTTTTTCCAGTGAATTGCTATATACTGGCATCTCTCCTATAAGATATTTGTGAAGTTGATTTTTAAACAAATATGTAATACCTTACTTTTATCCCTATTAAATTTCACCTGATTCAACTGTGCTTAATGTTCTATCCAATAAAAGGATTTTGGCAACCTGAGAACTCACTGAGTATAGTAGCTATCTTACTTAGATTTTGGTTATGTGCAAAATTGATTAAGATGTCTCCTTTGTATGTATCTGAATCATTGTTCAAAAAATGTGTACAGAACAGTACAGTGTAGAAGACAGAGGAGTGACCTCTAAGTGAAGATAAACCAGGGTGATTCACTGATCCAGGAGTCAGAGCATAGGTTACACTTGAAGAAGGGGGTAGTATGGAAAAGGTGATGTTGCATAGACTTTCAAGAGAATCCAAAATAACAGTTGTGGCTTCAAGAATATAGTATGTGGGACCCTAAAAAATATTAACACCACATTTTCTGCAAAAATCAGTTATACCAGCTCTGGAGAGTTGATTGTTAAATTTTCAGTGAGAGAAATTACATCTTGGAAATTGAAAAATGCTGCCAATAGGGCTTGATTTATTGTTTTGGTGATTTCTAGACTTAGGGAAGTGATGGAGAAAATGTTAATGATGCCGATTAAACAAAAAAAAGTTTGTGGTACATTTTCAGACAGCTCTTTGTTAAACTTTACCAAGACAAAACTGGGTTCTCTGACAACATGTGGGGAGTTAGTGAAAGAACCAGATGAAATTAAAATATCAATGAGATGGTGAATGATAGGCATCCCATGTTGATGTGTTCTCATTGAAACTTTTTATGCCTCTTGCAGGAATTGTGAGGCAATATCCTAGAGTAACTTCAGCTCTTGGAATCTACTTTTTTCTTTATCCTTTCCTGGGTGTTCCTTTCTGGCCTCAGCAGGATCACATAACACTTGGGAATAAAGATGCAGCCCAGTAACCCAGCACTGGAGGCGAGGATGGAGGAGATCTCTACAACCACCATGGCCTTACCCTTGGTGCTCTGGTATGTGGGGAGGAAGGAGACCCACACACTGCAGAATACCACCATGCTGAATGTGATGAATTTGGCTTCATTGGAGGTGTCAGGCAGGCTCCTGGCCAGGAAAGCCACAATGAAACTCCCCAGGGCTAGGAAACCCATGTAGCCCAGGACACAGTAGAAGGCAATATCAGAGCCCTCATTACATTGAATGATGATGTGACCAGGTTCAGAGTGTGGGTCCATGTCTGGGAAGGGGGGAGAAGTTCCCAGCCAGATGCCGCAGAGAATCACTTGGATTCCAGAGCAGATCAGGACAACAGAGTTGGACACCCTAGATTGCACCCACATCCTGATTCTACTCCCTGGTCTTGTGACCCTGAAGGCCAGGACCACCATAATGGTTTTTGCCAAAATGGAGGACATGGCCACAGTGAAGACAACTCCAAAAGTTGTTTGTCTAAGGAGGCAGGTGGCTGCAGTGGGATGGCCAGTGAAGAGCAAGGAGCAGAGGAAACAGAAGATGAGGGAGGTGAGAAGAGTGTAGCTGAGAGTCTGGTTATTGGCTTTGACTATGGCAGTATCTTGAAACTTTACAAAAACCCAGAGAACCAGGGCTGTCAGGAGAGAGAAAGAAACAGCTATAAATGCTAGTGTTATCCCCACAGGTTCTGCAATATCCAGGAAGGCCACAACCTTGGGGAAGCAGTGATCTGTATCCTTATTTGAATATTCATCTTCTGGGCATTTTACACAGTGGTCCATATCTAAAGAGGAAGGAAGTATGGTCAGAGTATGTCTTGTACAGGAGGAACTACTGCTAGTGACCTCTTCCTGAGAAACCTTCCATGTACTCTCTATATCTTCTCATTACCTTATTATTCACCTATTTTGTTCCCAATTAAAAGGTGAACTTTTTGAAAGCAGAAACTATTTTTGTCCTTCTGTGGACCCCCTGCACTTAGCATTTTGCCTGGCTTTTAGCATGTATTTAATAAACCCTACCTTGCCTGGTCTGTAATTAGTGCACCACATTTGGTTGGTAGTGGCTTATGTTGTGATTAACATAATGTATGACCTAATTAAGCAAGATATTCTAGAACCAGTGTCCTCTGGGTTGACTTTAGGAGATCGTTTGTTACATAGGATTCACTGCATGAAGTACTTTTAGATGCTTTATTAACAAAAAAAGTCAAAATAACCCCAAGCCTGATCCCTGAGGACTCCTTTATGAACCAAGTGATCTGCATTAATAGAAAAGCCTGTTTAGGCCTCATTTCCTCCCTTGCATAATTCATTACTTTTCATAATCAAACATGTCTTCACTATCAGATGTGAGACTTCACTAGAAGAATATTTAAAGATTTATTTTTGTTATTTTGTTTGTTTTTTGTTTGTTTTTACTGCTTTATTTAGCTTTTTATTTTCCCCAGTTATTTGTTTTTTCCCAGTTATTTGTAAAAACAATTTTTAACATTTGTTTTTAAAACTTTGAGTTCCAAATTCTCTCCCTTCCTGCCTCTCCATCCCCCCCCCATTGAGAATGCAAACTGTTTGATATAGGTTATACATGAGTTGTCATACAAAACATATCCGTAATAATCATGTTGTGAAAGAAAACATAGACAAATAAGCTTGGTAAAAATTAAAAAAGCTAAAAAAAGTTTGCTTCAATCTGTATTCATATACTATCAGTTTTTTCTTTTCTTTTTTTATTTATTTGACTTTTTTTTTGTTGGGCAATGGGGTTAAGTGACTTGCCCAGGGTCACACAGGTAGTAAGTGTTATGTGTCTGATGCCGGATTTGAACTCAGGTCTTCCTGACTTCAGGGCCGGTGCTCTATCCATTGCACTACCTAGCTGCCCCTACCATCAGTTTTTTTCTCTGGGGATAGGTAACATTTTTTTTAATCTTAAGACCTTCAGAGTTTTCTTGGATCATTGTAGTGCTACGAATTGCCAAGTCATTCACAGCTGATCAATTTACAATATTGCTGTTTCTTTGTATACAGTACATTTCACTTTGCATCAGCCCATGCACATCTTTCCAGGTTTTTCTGAGACATCTTACTCATCATTTCTTGTAGTACAATAATATTTCATTAAGATCATATAGCACAACTTGTTCAGCTATTCCTCAATTTGTGGACATCTCCTCAATGTCTAATTCTTTGCCACCAGAAATATATATATATATATATATATATATATATATATATATATATATATATATTTTGTATAGTTTTTATAAATATTTTTAGTACATATAGATCTTTTTCTTTTTTTTTTTATCTCTCTTGGGATACAGACCTAGTAGTAGTATTTCTAAGTCAAAGGGTGTGTATGGTTTTATAGACTTTGGGCATAATTCTAAATTGCTCCACAGAATGGTTGAATCAGTTCACAATTCCGCCAACAGTGCATTAATGTCTCTTTTCCCCACATCCTTCCAGAATTCCTAGGTCAAGGAGAAAATACTGCAAGCAGCCAGAAAGAAATAATACAATTAGTGGGAAACTAGAGTCAGGATTGCACAGGAGTTAGCAATTTATATATTAAAGAACCAGAAGATTTGGAAAAAAAGAAGATTCTGAAGATCACCTGGCAGGGTAACATACCAGACACTGAGGTCCTTTCCTGAGCTAAACTGCCAAGCATTCAAGTTCTACTGCAGAGAGCGCAACCCTGATGGGCTGGCCATGTTATTGAAATTTCAAACATATGCTTGCCTAAAAAACTATTTTTTTACAGAGAACCCACACAAGACAAGTGCTCACATAGAAGCAATACAAAAAACACTCTCAAGGTCTCTCCAAAGACCTTTAGAACTGATTGAGTGATATGGAAGGCATTAGCACAGGATCAACCAGCATGGCATGCCCTCATCAAAGAAGGTGCTGTAGTCTTTGCAAAGCAGAACAGGAGTAGCTCTAAAGAAATGCAAGACGTATAAGTTTAGAGAATCCACCCTGAATGTTCACATGGAGTATTTATGCCTTACTTGTGGTAGAGCTTTCTGAGTTTGTACTGGTCTGATCAGCCACAGTCAGATGCACCATAACTTGAGAATGTAGAGAAGTTGTTTCAGTCCTCTTCTAGAACAAAGGACAACAACCAAACTCTGCAGTTCATATCCTACTACTCGGGCAGTGATGTTACTTTGCATTGTATATGTCTCCAAAAGCTCAACGCCACACTGTTCTTCACTAAAGGATTCAGAAAAGAAGCCCTTTATAGACACTTACCAATTTCACTGGAAATCTCCCCGTCTGGGCACTGGGAACAGCTGAAGCAGCAGACAGGCTGTTTCTCCATAGTTGTCTTCCTGTAACCAGGGTGACAGCTGTCACTGCACACAGAACGGGGGATCTAAGCCATTAACAGGGAATGGAAAGAACACCATTTACTAAAGGGATATTTATGAAGAATGGTGTGGCCCAAGAAAGTGTAACCTGTGAAACTGCTCTGTTGGCCATGTCAATGGGCGTCACTAATGGAATGTTCAAGAAATCTACTCTCTAGTTTTATCACTGTTACCAGCTGTGGAACTTTGGCTGAAGCTCTTGACCTCTGGAACTTGAGTTTTATCATTTGTAAAATGGGAGCTTTGGGCCCTGTGATCTTAGAACACTTACATTTTGTACTGCTGAATATACCCTGGATCGTTGTATTGCTAATGACCCAAGTTGCTCAGTGAAAGGTTGGCAATCATCCAAAATTATGCTTAATATTTTAATATGCAAAGACCATAAGCCTGTAGGATTGGAGTGAATTAACTGTCCCATAATTGGGACCTAGTCAATGAGACACAGAGGGAAAGTACTGCGCTTTGTCTGTGGGCAGTCCATGTGGAAGAGGCTGGGCTACTTGCTTCCAGAAAAGAGTGATATTGTGTAATGAAAATGTTTTGTTTTCCATTACAAGCAACCCCTTACGTTCCCAATGCTTGTCCTCCCCTCAGTTATGTGAAAACGAGGGGCTATTTGATTGGCTGCTCAGCCAGAACTGGGAATGTGTTCAAAAGGCAAGAATTGACATAGGTTTTTTTTTTTTCTGTCTGAGTCAGAGACATGCTGTAATACTCTGGGTGACTGAAGGTTTTGGGCCCTCTCCACCCAAAGCCAGCATGTGGCCAGTGACCACAGGCCCCTGAATTTGCCTTTTTGCATTTCTTCTGTTCTCCTTCTATTTGAAGAAATCTTGCAAATTTTGGTATTACAAGCTTGGGAGTGTGAGTGATCATAAATCCAGTGATGAAAGCCTGCACTAGAATTTTTCTTTTTGCCACACATGAAGTGAACAAAGCTCTGAGAAGCAAGACCCAAGTCCAACAGTATAAGAATCAATAATTTGTCCAGTAGTAATGGTGAATGTGGAAAACTATTTGGTGAAGTACATTCTTTTACAAACTATTTGAACTTTGGGATACACACACACACACACATACACACACACATACACACACATACACACACATATATGTGTATAATATACACATGCATATATGTATGTATATGCATAATGTGACTGATGCAAGGGTGAGTTTTTCCAAAATGTGGGGGAAGGAAAAATGTTTGTACTCATTTTTTTTTGCTATATCTTTTCAGTAAATGTACCTTTATAAAAACTAATTGATGTTAATCAGTCAAGCAGTACTGGGGTACTTATCCCAGGTAATTTATTTTAGGGAAAATATCCCAAAAATTGAAATCTGAAGCAACTAATAGTAAAGACATCAACATGACCCTCTAGGTCACCTGTAGAGTCCCAATAGGGAGATTGTAGCCTTGAATTATAGACCATAGAGAATTAGTTGGGATGAGAACCTTCAGAGATTTATAAGGGCTAGAGACTATGGAGACACAGAATCTTAGAGAGCATTTAGATATTTGTCCAAATTGGAAAAATGTAGGTCACACTAATTTTCTTTTCAATAGAAAAAAAAATTTGGGCAGTAGCTGAAATAAATTTTATTTTAATTCAATTGAACTGAGTGGAAGTTTCACCACCATTCATGAAGATGCAGGAAAGTAGATAAGAGCAATGGCTTTCAGGCAAATTAAAAGCTTTTTGTACCTCAATTTTCTTATCTGTCAAAATAAGGGGTAGACAATTTGATTTTTAATGTCCATTCCTCTACTGTCTCCTATGAGGCTAAATATTGCTGTTTTGAAATATACATCTGATTGCTTATTTTTACCTTTTTTATCCAAAAATTTGTTTTAAAGGCAAAAAAGAAAGACAAGCTGAGTGATATTTTCTATGCATAAATATGGAAAGTTTAGTGAGGTACAGTGAGATGTGTTCTTATGACTGAACATGTAAATTGATTTGCAGATAATCTCTGACCTTTGAACGTAACAATCCCCAGTTGATGGCTTCCTCACATATTGTGAAATCTTGAGCAGATGGAGCCTTGGGGATAAATTCTCCCACTTTCACCAGGAGTTCAGTACCATTAGGAAGGGCCATATAGTTCCTAATGTCATATTGAACCTCAGAGCTTCTTTTCTCATCCATAAACACCTGATCACCAGCACTGTTGTTAAATTGAAGGTCCTTCAGAATGGAGTAGAGCTGAAAGGGAAGAGAAAGCTGTCATTTCTTGGTGTCTGAGGCCAGAGCTATCCCATAAATTAAGACCTATGCACTCTGACAGATATGCTGGGGCTGCTCAATTGGAATTTGTACTTCTTTTTTTTCCTTTTTTAAAAAATTTATTTATTTTTAGTTTTCAACATTCACTTCCACAAGATTTTCTCCCCATCTCATCCCTTCCCCTACCCCAAGATATCATACATTCTGTATACCACTTCCCCTAATCTGCCCTACCTTCTATCTCTTCCCCCCTTCTCTTATCCCCTTCCCCTTCTATTTTCCCGTAGGTCAGGATAGATTTCTATGCCCCATTGCCTGTATTTCTTATTTCCCAGTTGCATGTGAAAACAATTTTTTTAACATGTGTTTTTAAAACTTTGGGTTCCAATATTTTTCCTTTCCTCCCTCCTCAACCACCTTCATTGAAAAGGCAAGCACCTCAATACAGGTTATACATGTGTACTCATGCAAAACAATTCCATAGTCATGTTGTGAAAAACTAACTCTATTTCCCTTAATCCTATCCCCCCCCCATTTATTCTATTCTTCTTTTGACCCTGTCCCTCCTCAGAAGTTTACTTCTGATTACCCCTCCCAATCTGCCCTCCTCTCTATCACACCCCTGCTCTCTTGTCCCCTTCCCCCTATTTTCCTGTAGGGTAAGACAGATTTCCATACCCAATTGATGTGTATGTTATTCCCTCCATAAGCCAAATCCCATGAAAATAAGATTCACTCATTCCCTCTCACCTTCCCCGTTTCCTCCTCTGTAAAGCCTTTTCTTTCTGTTTTGTGAGATAATTCACCCCATTCTGCCTCTCCCTTTCTCCTTCTCCCGTATAATTATCTCTCACCCCTTAATTTTATTCTCCAGATATGACCCCTTCATCTTCAACTCACCCTGTGTCATCTATCTATCTATCTATCTATCTATCTATCTATCTATCTATCTATCTATCTACATATGTAGAATTTTCCCCCCTGCAACTACCCTAATACTGACAAAGGTCTCATGAGTTACAAATATCATCTTTCCATGCAGGAATGTAAACAGTTCAACCTTAATAAGTCTCTTATGATTTCTCTTTCCTGTTTACCTCTTCATGTTCCACTTGAGTCTTGTATTTGAAAGTCAAATTTTCTATTCAGCTCTGGTCTTTTCATCAAGAATGCTTGAAAGTCCTCTATTTCACTGAATGATCATTTTTCCCCTGAAGGATTATACTCAGTTTTGCTGGGTAGGTGATTCTTGGTTGTAATCCTATCTCCTTTGCCCTCCAGAATATTATATTCCATGCCCTGTGGTCCTTTAATGTAGAAGCTGCTAAATCTTGTGTTATCCTGATTGTGTTTCCACAATACTTGAATTGTTTTTTCTGGCTGCTTGTAATATTTTCTCCTTGACCTGGGAACTCTGGAATTTGGCTACAATATTCCTAGGAGTTTTCCTTTGGGGATCTCTTTCAGGAGGAGATGTGGATTCTTTCAATTTCTATTTTGCCCTCTGGTTCTAAAATATCAGGGCAGTTTTCCTTGATAATTTCTTGAAAGATGATGTCTAGGCTCTTTTTTTGATCATGGCTTTCAGATAGTCCAATAATTTTTAAATTCTCTCTCCTGGATCTATTTTCCAGGTCAGTTGTTTTTCCAATGAGATATTTCACATTGTTTTCTATTTTTTTCAATCTTTTGGATTTTTTTAGTGTCTTAATTTCTCATAAAGTCACTATCTTCCAATTGCTCTATTTTAATTTTAAGGAAGTATTTTCTTCAGTAAGCTTTTGGACTTCCTTTTCCATTTGGCCAATTTTCTTTTTAGGGCATTCTTCTCCTCATTGGCTTTTTGGACCTCTTTTGCCATTTGGGTTAGGCTATTTTTTAAGGTGTTATTTTCTTCAGTATTTTTTTGGGTCTCCTTTAGCAAGCTGTTGACTTGTTTTTCATGATTTTCTTGCATCACTCTCATTTCTCTTCCCAGTTTTTCCTCTACTTCTCTTACTTGCTTCTCAAAATCCCTTTTGAGCTCTTCCAAGGCCTGGGACTGATTCATATTTTTCTTGGAGGCTTTGGATGTAGGAGCTTTGACTTTGTTGTCTTCTTCTGGTTGTATATTTTGATCTTCTTTGTCACCAAAGTAAGATAATATAGTCTGACTCTTTTTGCACTGCTTGCTCATGATCCCAGCCAATTACTTGAGTTTTAAACTCTTTGTTAAGGTAAGAGTCTGCTTCCAGTGTGGAGAATGTACTATCCCAAGCTTTGCAGGCTTATACAGCTGTTTTCAGAGATACTTGTAGGGACCTGTAAATTTTCAGTTCTTGCAAGGTGGTATGATAAGGGGTGAGGTATTTACTCCTTTCCTGGCCTGTGCTTTGGTCTATGAGTGACCACAAGCACTCTTTTCTGCCTTGGAACTGTGAGGAGAACTTCCTCTCTACCACTACTACAAGTTCCACCATGCTAGCACTCCTCCTCACCCCAGGACCGCCACCAAGAACTGTGACCCAAATCCAAGCATGGGCAAAGCAAGAGAATCCTGAACTAGCAGAGAGATCCCTACAATCACCCTCCGACCAGCCACTCAATTCCCCACTGAGTCTGTGGTCTGGAAGCTCCAGAAGCAGCCGCTGCCCCAGGGCCACGCTTGGAGACTGGGTCTGGGACCACTCTTCTGTTTCTCACCACAGTAACAGACTTTTCCCACTGACCTTCTAAGTTGTCATTGGTGTTTGTGGCTCGAGATGTCTGGAAATCACCACAGCTGCCTGTGATTCAGTCCTCTGAGGCCTGCTCCAGGTTCACTGAGGCCTGTTCTCCCAGCCTGGTGTGATATACCTTTCCAATAAACCATCCGGGCTGTCTTGGGCTGTAATTTGTTTCACTCTGTCTTTTTGTGAGTTCTGCTGCTTTAGAATTTGTTTAGAGCAATTTTTTAATAGCTGTTTGGAGGGGTTTGGGGGCAACTCAAGCAAGTCACTGCTTTTACTCTGCCATCTTGGCTCTGCCCTCCCCCCCCCCACTTTGTACTTCTATTTGAAGTGATGATACATGTGATCTGGAATTCTGCCTTACCCTCCTATTAGCTCTAAGTCTTTGGGCAATTTACCTACCCTTTTTCAGTCTTGCTCCCTAAAATGAAGTAAAAACTTCTAATAGGATAATATATCAAAGTGCATTGCACATCCTAAAACACTATAAAAATGATAACTATTATTCTTAATTGTCATCATTACATTTTCTTATTCCTCATGATACATGAAAGGGGTGAGCACAAGTAGAAAAGAAAATTGTTAGGGCAGCTAGATGTCCCAGTGGCTAGAGTTCCAGTCTTGGAGTCGGGAGGACCTGAGTTCAAATCTGGCTTCAGGCACTTGAAAGTTACTAGCTATGTGACCCTGGGCAAGTTACTTAACCCTGATTGCCACACCAAAAAGCAAAAAAAAATGTTTCTGTAGGGGAACCTGTCTGCCTAGAAACGTGGTGCTTTTGGAAATCCCATGATCTTAGTGAGATCTGGCTCATGGCTAGAATATGTCCTTGGAAAGGATGTATTCGAAAGCAACAAGGTAGAGCGCCAATTATAAATAGTCAAGTTGAACAGTAAGTGTTGTCGGATCCTGATGCCTCTCCCTGCTCCTCAGTGTCTGTAGATTTTGAGTTTAAAGGTCTCTGAACAGCAGCTATCTGATATGCATTCTCATTGTGCCCTTTGGAATATTTGTCCCATAATTAACAAACTTCTTTTCATTTTAAACTTACCACTTTCTGATTCATTTCATCTTCTAGCCTTCACTGAGACAAAGCTCTATCCTGAAAACTGGTTTCTTTGTTTTCCTTTCCAGTTCTGACTACACTTCCTCTTGTAGCTACTGATTTACTTATCATGGTGTAGAAGTCAGAAAACTCCCCATCACCACTTCAGGACCCCCCATTAACCACCTTCATTAAGCAACTTTTACTTTTACCTTCTGATATCCATCTTATTCACCCAATCCAAATCTGACCCTAGAACATTCTCTTTCTTTCTAAGGAAAGAACTCAGTGATTACAATCTTCATCTTTTTTTTTCAATTTCATTCTGGATATCAGGAATACTGAAACATACCTATAGTTAGCCTCATGCGTCCCTTGATGCCCCTTAATCTATCGACGTGCCGCTGTGTCATCCTCAGCTACGCTTGATCCTTGATGCTATGATTACTCACAAGGGTTCCACTTGTACGTTTACCAACTGAAACTTTCCCTTATCCTTATTTCTTCTTTCCTTTATCCCAAACTTTTCTTGTTCCATTTTTTCCAGTGTCTGAATATTCCTAAACCTGGTTTTCATCCTCATTATAAACCTTATTCCTTCTAATCCACTTTTCTTTTTCCAAAAAAAACTTTAAAAATTTATTTTATTTTTAATTTATGGAATAAAATAATCATTTCCATAACGTAGTATAATAAAACAATGATTGCACAGGAAACTGCAAATCTATTTTTTATAACTTTCTATTCCCTTTAAATATATAATAAAATTATCATGTAAATTGCCTTTTTGCCTTTTTTCTTCCCTCCTCTGCCCTAAAGATATCTACCCCTAAAGAAAAAAAAGTGTGTGCGTATGTGTGTGTATACATACATGCAAACATACATATGTATAAGCATTCTTTATATACTTCTATTTATGAATTCTTTCTCTGGATGTAGATAATATCTTCCTTCATGTGTCCTTTATAATTAATTTGAGTATTTATAATAGACAAAGTGACTTATTCACTTAAAGTTATCCTTCAAACAATATTAATGTTACTGTATACAACCTTGTCATTGTTCTGCTCATTTCATTCTTCGTTACATTGTGTAAGTCTATCCATGTTTCCTAAGATGTTTGAAGTCTTCATTTATGACAGCACAGTTGTATTTCATGACAATAATATAGCACAACTTATTCATCCATTCCCCATTTGATGGACATCCCTGCTATTAATCCAGTTCTTTTCCACCACAAAGAAGCTGCTATAAATATTTTAGAATATATAGGTTCTTTTTTTTCTCTAATAATCTTTGGAAATAGACCTGGTAATGATATTGCTGGGTCAAAGTGTACAGACAGTTTAATAACACTTTGGGCAATAAGGCATTCCAGAATGCTCTCCAAAATGTGGGATCAGTTCAGAATTCCACCAACAATGAATCAGTGTCTCAATTTTTCCATGTTTCCTCCAATATTTGTTGCTTTCCTCTTCAATAATTTTAGCCAATCTGATAAATGTAAAATGACCAAGGTTCTTTCAATTTGCATTTCTCCAATCAATAATGATTTACAGCATTTTTTTATATGATTATAAATTTGTTTCGAATCCTTCATTGCAAAAGTACCAGTTCATATCCTTTGACTATTTATCAATTGGGGAATGACTTGTATATTTATAGATTTGACAGAATTCTTTATATATTTTTGACATGGGGCTGTTATCTGATAAATTGTCTATAACATTTTCCTCAATTTTCTGCTTTCCTTCTGATCTTGGCTGTTTGTTTTATTTGTACACAACCTTTTAAAATTTAATGTTATTGAAATTATCCATTTTACACCTCATTCTTTTCTCTCTCTTGTTTATTCATATATTATTTGTCTATACATAAGTCTGATAAGTAATATGTTCCATGTTCTTCAATTTTTCTTGTAATATATCTCTTCATATCTAGGTATTGTATCCATTTGGACCATATCTTATTAAATGCTGTAAGATAATGGCCTGTGCCTAATTTCTGCCATACTCCTTTCCAGCTTTCCCAACAATTTTTACTAAATAATGAATTCTTACATTAAAATCTTAAGTCTTTGCACTTGTCAAATACAAGGTTACTATACTGATTTCCTGCTGTAAATTGTATGTCCGCTCTGTTCCACTTATCTACGTTGCCATTTCTTAGCCATTGCCAGGTAGTGTTGATTTTTACTGCCTTATGATACATTTTAAGATCTGATACTGCTAAACCTTCTTCCTTTACATTTTCTTCATTAATTCCTTTGTTATTCTTGTTATTCCAAATGAATTTTATTATTTTTTCTAATTCAGTAAAATAATTTTTGATAATTTATTTTATTTCTTTCCAAAATTACACTGGCTATACTCTCCCCACAAAGGCATGGTCAAAGTCAGGTAGACTCTTTGGATTGACTAAGAGATATGGTTACACCACCTGCAATCTGTACAAAAGTATTGAGCAAGTTGGAACTGGGAGTCTGAGGTTTGGCATGAGAGAGAAAGGAGTGCATACATCAAGAGCTGAGCCACAAAGCATTGGCAAGACAGGAGCACAAAGCAAAAGGTTAAATGGGAAAGTAGGACTGAGATGAGGCAGAGAAGGGAGAGATAGTGGAAGGTCATCTGCAGGAGAGACTGGTTGACCTTGCTAGATGTATCCACCTTTTTTTTTTTTCAAGGACTGAGAATTCAAAGAAAATTCAAAGAAAGAGTCTGCTCTTTCCCCAACTTTTCTTTCTGGTATTTGTCTAGCAAAGGGCACTGTACTATACTTTTTTGTTTTTTACCAAATGTTTCTAATAACTTGAATTTTGCCTTGCCAATTATTCCAGAGATTAGGTAGAGGTATATATAAATGTAAATGATATCAGAGAGCCAAACATCTGTCCAAATGTTAATAATTTTCATAACAATGTCCTCAGAGTGATTGTCATTGTACTCTTAATTTTCAGTTTAGAACTGTATTGCCCAGAGGGGTTTTTATATTGTTGGTAAGCTTTAAAAAGTTATTATTAAAGTTATAGTTTTATTTATGTACTTTATTGTTATGGTGCACATATATATGTGTGTGTGTGTGTTTTTTGTATATATATATATATATATATATATCATAAAGAATGATTTTGCATCCTTAATTTATTTCTTCTATTTACAAGTAATTGTTTTTGTTCTTTAACTGCCTGTCTCTAACTGCTTAAGTGACAGTTCTTTGTCTTTGCATTTAGTTCTGAGTTCAGCTAGACTAGGATGGGTTAACTTAAAAATCCAGCTCTTCTTGCCTCAAAGAATTTAACTGAACTTGAGGAATGTGTATTAAAGCAAGGACATTGGGCTTGAAATTTAATTGGATGGTTATTGTTATAAAAGTGAGGTCTCTCAATGAGGAGGCCCAGTCTTGCTGCTAGAAGAGTTGTCAAAGTGAAAGGTCTGAGAGGTGGCAAGTCTCAGAACCGAAGTCTTAAGGAAGCAGAACTCATAAGGCTTCTGCCAGTCCACATCTAGGAGTCTTTGCTCTTTTGGAAAGAGCCCAACAGTTTCTCAGGAAAGGAGTGCAACTGAGGCTGGAGATAGAGGTGGTGATAAATTCAGCTGGTATCAAGGAGCAAGCCCAAGAGAATCCAACCGCATGATCTAGCCAACAGAACTACCATATTCTTGGAGAAACAAGAGACACAGTCTCTTAGTTAATCAATTCACAAAATATGTCGCAGAACTTTGGAATGCCTTTATGAGAAAAGAACATAAAAGACTCTCAGTTCTGAAAGTCAGAATACTCTTGAACACTTGTGCCTCACTACTGTTTGCCCTTTAAGTTTGTGTTCACTGTATGGTGAACATAGCATGTATTTTTGGACCAAAAGCATTCAGGTAAGCAGTTTGAACACTACCCTGGAGATAGAGTTTGGAAGGAGGAGTCCTTTGGAGGAATAATGCTAAGTTCATTTTTGGTCATGTGGAGGTTAGGATGTGCACAGGACATCCCATTTAAGATGTAAAATAGATGGCTGAAGAGGCAAAATTGAAGGTCAACAGAGATGAGAAAATTAATTCTTGGTACTGTATTTTATATTTGATTTTGCTCTGGTAAGTGATTATTCTGTAACAAGATTCTGTATTCTATGTAACCAACCTAAAAGCTTCTTTTCTGTTTCTAAGTGTAGAAGTTCCCGCTTGTAAAAGTTCAGTCTCCTCTTTCCCTGAAGTTAGATATGAAAGTCTTAAGCTTTTCCACAAAGTTAGTCATAGAAAAAGTCTGCTCTCAGTATTCTCATAAAACCTTATGTCCACATTTTCTGCAAGATTTGTATCCGTGAGAAGCTGGCCTAACTGACCTTGTCCCATATTTTACAAACATGGTTTAACTAACTTGCCAAGCACCAGTTTGTCTTTATATCTGGGTCCTTATCAGTGATGTCAGAATGCAGGTGTAACCCACAGATTCACAAAGGTATTCCTTAGAGATAAAGAGAGGTGATCTTCATCCAACATACAGGCTATGCCCACTTTCCTTTATGTAACCACTCATAATTCTCAGACCCCATGATGATGCTCATCTCAGAACTGATTACAGGATTTTTGTTCTGCTCTTTCTTCTCTTCACATAAAAATGATTTATATCTTAAATTCAGGGTCTTTTGGGAAGAGCCAGTGCCATTGGACCCATCCTTTATTAAGTGATTTGGTGACCAATTTATAAATTATTTATTATTATTTTATGTATTATTTATATATGTATGTTATTTATTAATATTAATTATTTATAAATTATCTTGCTCAGAGAATTTCCTCAGTTTAATTTTTTTGATAAATTTCACATATGATAGAGAGGTGAGGGCTGGCTAAGAAGATTCAAGAATCATCAGGATAGGGAAGATCATTGAAACCATGGGAATTATTAAGATCACCAAGTGAAGTATCACAGGAGAGAAGAGAGGAAAGCTGAAGACAGAACACTGGGGGACACCCAATTTCAATATGATGGAGACGAGACCCAAAAGAATCTCTGGAAGGTTAGAGAATGGTTCAAATCAGTCAGTGTGCCAAGAGTCAATAAGCATCAATTAAGCACCTACTAAGTGCCAGAAACTGTGCTGTATGTGGTGACATAGCAAAGCAAGACAGTCCCTTCCCTGAAAGAACTCCCAGTGTTGGGAGGAGACAACATGCAAAGAACTGTATAGAAAAAAGGTATAAAAAGGGGAAATGGAGATAATCAGAAGAAGAAAGTCAGTAGCATTAAGAGGACTAAAGACAAGCTTCCTGTAGAAAGTGGCATCTTAGTCTGAACTTGAAGGAAGCCAGAAAAGACAGCAGATGAAAAGGAGCACAAAATATCAGACCTGCATGGCAGCCAATGAAAATGTTTGTAGTTGGGAGATGGAGTGTTTTGTTTGAGGAACTATAAAGAGGACAGTATCACTCAACCTGAAAGTCCATGATAGCAGAGTTTAAGATGTAAGAAGACTGGAAAATTATGGAGTGAGCAACATATTGAAGGGCTTTGGATGCGAAAGAGAGGATTTCAATTTGATCCTAGAAATGAAAGGGAGAAATTCAGTTACAGTTAATAAAATGAAATGTAATAGAGATAAAAAGTGTTTTATGGGTTCAAAAAGTCATCTTCACAAGTATGAGATGGTTAAGTCAATTTTAAATACTAAAATGGAGAAAGACGTAATTTCTATAATTTGAGTTTTGTGGTAGCTGGACTCTATGCTGCCTTGGTCAGATCACTTGTAGAGGTGAGAAATCTGTGAAAGAAAACTGTAATGTAAGTTCCATAGTCAAAATATCAGGAATTTTCAATGGACAAGACCAGTTCCTAAAGGCAACTTACCTGCCAAGGATGAGGCACCCAGCTTTCTCCACCTTCCTCAGATGCAATCTCTGATTTCATCAGAAGCTTTGTATGAAGGGCCCAAGCCACAGCATATACTGCATTGTAGATGGTGTAACTCAGGCCAGACATAGTCATGTCAAAAAGAATATCGGCAAAGCCTCCAATGAAGCATTTCTTGCACACTGCTGTAGATCTATCTTCCCCTGTTTATCCTGGCACTGGAATACTGACAACCAGAACTTTTTAAGTATGATGTCCTCTGGGGCTTTGTTAGGGTTCACTGTCCTGAGAAAAGACTTAAAACCAGGAACCTCACTGGTCACGTACGTAAATGTGAGAGCTCCACTGAAAGCATAACTATCAAAATAGTAGGGTCTCATAGTTATGTCCCAGTGAGAAGTGGTGATCCACACCTTAGTTGTTGGAGAAAATGGCATTTGTGAATATCTGAGAACCATTAACTAATCTGTATCACCATGAACCACCACTACCCTAGCTGGAGATGCAATAATCCTAGGCATAAAATACAGCTCTGATTCTTCATGTGATCTCTCACTGACAGGGATCTTCTCTGTCAAGGGTGCACAGACATCATGCTTTGCCATCTCCCCTGTCACTTCTCAAAGAAATTCCTCACCCCTGAGATCATCTGTGGTCACCAGAACTACCCAGGTCCATTTAAAATGTACCAGTAACTGGACTACACCTTGAGGCAAGGAAGAGTCTCTGGGAGCCATCTGGTAGAGAGAAGGAAACTGGGCCTTGTCACTGAGGATGGGATCAAAAGGGCCAAAGCTCAGCTGGACAATAGGAACAAACATGGGAAATGTTAAATTCTATGACTATTGTAGTAATGATAGAATTGTGGGAAATTACAAACTCTCATCAAGTAGTCCTTTCTCTGTGGGGATAATTGTTGTGGTTTTTAGAATAAGCTCTCTGTTATAGGGGAATTTTAACCCACCCAGATCTCCATTTTTATCCCCCTCATTTAGTCACTTGCTTGGTAATGAAGGAGTTTTCTGATTCTTCAGTTATCACTGCTTCACCTAGAAGGTCTTCTCCCTCCTTCCCAAATGTACTGTTATATTTTTTCTTGGCCCAGAGTCAGGTGTTATAATAAAACAGTTGGCATTAATTTTTGTGAAAACAAATATCTTCCATCATGTATGTGTTGCACATATTTGTTACGGCCAAAAAAAAAACCCCTATAGGTTTTACATGTATAAAAGTTACATTTAAAATCAGATAATTTGGGAATTTGTTCTGGGAAGATGGAGGAGTAGATCAGAAATTTTCAGGCTCTCCAGATTTTAATTAGCTTTCAGAAAAGGTATTTACTAAGCAGGTATAGCAAGGATAGTTCTCATGAAAACACACCCCCTAAGTATGGGCACACTCTTCACTTGCACTCAAGGTCCATGAAGAGAATCGGCTGAAATTGAGAGAACACATGTGGCTAAAAGGTTAATCCACATCTCCGGGTTTCTGGAAGTCCTCTTCTCCATTGGTGGAGTCCGCATGAAATTCCTTTTCAGTGTGACTCTCTGCTGAGTTCCCAGGCTTCTTGCCCTGAATTTCCAGCTTCCTTTCTTTGTGTCTCATCTGTTATTAATGCGTCTTTCACCTCCCATTGCAAAAGTTAATGTCTCCTACTGCTTGACAAAGTCACTGCTTTTGACTCCAGTATACAATGCTAGTGGAGATTACAGGAAATCCAGCTTTTATGACCTTTCAAAGTTTATAAGGTCATCATGTGGAAACATTCTCCTTCCACCTAAAGACAATTACCTCTCAGGAGTCCCTTACCCCTGGATTCAAACACCACTTGACTGGCCTGCTGTTAGAATGCACAATTCTACCCTGACTTGTTAAATAATACATAAACCTGGAGGTAGGTCTTCTTTTTTCATTGAAACACAATTTATTTTATGTTTCATCATTTAATGACCCAAAATCCATTGCTAGCTGTGCAAATAACAAAAAGCTGGGACTAACTTCAACATGTATGGCAGAGTGAAGAAGGCTCAAAAAAGGGCTTAATCAGCTAGGACAGCATGCTAAATCTGAGAAATGAAATGAAACAGAGATCAATGTGAAGTCTTAGACATGAGTTCAAAAAAGTTAACTTCGTAAGTACAAGAAGGGCAGAAGGGGGTTAAGTAGGCAGCATTTCATGTGAAAGAGATGTGACAGTGGACTGCAAACTCAATATGCATCACCAGTGTGTTAGAGCAGCCATAAAACCTCATGAAATCTTGGTCTTTAGCAAGAAATAGAGTGCCCAGGGTGAGGGAAAACTATCACAGCCTGTCTTACTCAGACTACATCTAGAGTGTCATGGTCAGTACTGGAAATAACAAATGCTATATTAGGAAGAATACTGAAAATCTGGAGATTGTCTTTCTCCAGTCCAATAACCTCATTTAGCCACTCTCTCTTCAATGCTCTATTTAATCTCGTTGGTGAATGAATTCCATTCTACAATATTCTCTACACTCAATCCAATAAATCCCTTACCCTATCACTAATTTTACCTCGGCAGGATCCAACTTTGAATTACTCCTACCATTCACAACCTCTTCTTTCTATTCACATGCTTTTGAAGAAAGTTGGGGAAAATAAGAAAAGTGTGCTAACTGGGTCCTCTACAGATCCTTCTTATTAAACAACTCAACTGTAATAAAACAACTCATTGCAGAAAGATGATTCTTTTCCTCTTCCAAATTGTTTCCCTGTCTCACTGGCTCAAGTGGCTATTCCAAAAATTCTCATCTGATAGAGCACTGGCTCTTGAGTTAGGAAGATCTGAGTTCAAATCTTGAATAAGTCACTTATCTTTTATATAGCTTAGTTTCTTCATTTGTAAAATGGGTATAACAATAGCACCTACTTTCCAGGTCCGTTGTGAGGGATCAAATGAGATAATACAACTAATAAATAAAATAGCTAACACTCATAGTCCTAATTGTGTGCCAGGCACTTCATACCTGTACAGTAAAATGCAAACCTTAAAATACTAAATAAATATTAGCCTTCTTAATATCTCTTGCAGCATTAATTCCACCCACATTTTTAACAGATAACCATGCATCATACTTCACAAAAAACTTGTCATTTTTAACGAGTTCTTTTTTCATTTCTTATAAAGTAAAATATCTAGATATCTTCCTTTACTATCTCTTTCACTCCTGTATAATGTGAGGATGTAGCCTCCCTCATTGTAAAGGCAAACTTCTCTGAACACACCCTTGATCCCATCTGAGTCAATCTTCTTCACTAGATTGCCTTCTCTGTCATTTCCCCTCTCTCACTAACCTGTCCTCTCTCCCATTTATTGGCTATTTCCCAGCTACTTACAAATATGCTCGTGTCCCGCATTTCAAATCCTAGAAACAAGCTCACTGGATTCTATTAATCCTGGTAGTTGTTGTCCTATACCTCACCTCCACTTCATGGATTAATTCTTTAACAAATTCATTTATGTTCAACCTCTTTTCCTCTCCTCTCACTTTCTTCTTCTCTTCTACAATATAGTACATAAATTCTATCTGAAATTGTTCCCTCCAATGTCACCTATGATCCCTTAATTGACAAATCAAATGGACTTTATGAAATCCTCATCCATGCAGATATGTCTTCATCTTTGGATAATGTTGATCCTCCTCTTCTCCTTGATAACTTGTCTTATCTTAGTTTTTCTGATGTTCTGTTCTTCTTGTTCTTCTACTGCCTGTATGACTGTTTCTTCTTAGTCTCTTTTGCCACATATGAAGCAGGTTTTGGATGCAGTGAATAGAGTGTTGGATCTGGAATCAGGAAGATCTGAGTTCGAATCTGTCCTTCGACACTGGCAAGTCACCTGATTTCTGTATGCTTCAATTGGGAAGAATAACAGCAGCTGCCTCACAAGGTCATTGGGAAAATCAAGTAAGATAATGTCTGTAAGAGTGTTTAGCACAGAGCCTGGCACACAGTAGGCACTCTCCAAATGTTTAATCCTACCCAACCTCACCCCTGCATAGGATTAGGCAACTCTGATTCTATTCTTTTTGTAGAATCTGGCTTTAGGTCGATGAGAGGTCCCTCCATTTTCTCCTAAACTGGAGTGGCCTGATAAAAATTTAGAAGGTAGCAGGCCCAATATCACCCACCTGTGGATTCTTGTAGAGCTCCAGCAGGGTCCCCATCTGGACAGACAGGGCTGATGTGGCTTCTCCAATGACAGCCACAGACTTGGTCTCTCTGCAGCTGTAGTTGGGGATGAACTGGCCCTGCCCAGACAGCCACCACAGGGAGCTCTCCAAGGTCCTCTTATCACTGTGGTAGGCATTGTAGACCTGGAAGCCCAGAGAAATGTTGGGCAAGAGAACAGGGTCCCTGTTGATCTCCTCCACAGCAAACCTTATGGTCATGGCCTGCTGGTAGTTTTTGTGCAGCCACCTAAGGAGGAGAGAATCAGAAACCACTAACCAAGCCTGAATAGAAAATTCATTTCAGAAGGAAAGCTTTCTCAGTTATGTGATGGTCAAAACGAAGCGCTCCAGGTCATTTTGTGTTTACAATAACAACAGCAACAATGATAGTAACTAACATTTATATGTTGCCAGGCACTCTGCTCAGCAACTTACAATGACTATCTCATGTGATTCTCACAACAGCCCTGGGAGGTATGTGCTACTATAATCTCCATTTCACAAGTAGAAAACTGAGGGAAACAGAAGTCAACTGATTTGTCCAGGGTCACACAGCCAGCAAGTGTCCAAAACTGCATTTAAGTACAGGTTTTCCTGACCTGAGGCCTGTCCCTCTATCCTCTGTTGTACCTTTCTGCACCAAGCTGATTATTAATAACAGTCTCCCTTACTCCTGTACTGTTCCCCTCACAAAATTCCTATGATATTTATGGCTATTTGCTTGGAACTTCTAAGTTGAATGTGCCTGTCAGAGTCATCCATTTATTCAACTAATAAATATTGAGCCAATGTGCTTATGTCAGTGATCCAGATGGTCCTTGTTCCCAGAGAGCTCTATGCTAAAGTAAGAGAGGCAAGAAATGCCCTCATGCCTTTAATACAAAGGAGTGGGGGATATATGCACATATAGTGTAGAGAAAAATGGGGGAATGATGAGTAAGGGGACATTCACTTTCAAATGATATCATAAGAGAAGACTTATGGATTTTGTCATAACTTTCAAAAGATGGGCTTTAATCAGCCAGCACACATTTATTAAACACCTAGTGTATAAACACAAAGGGTGGAAGTAGGCAATAGGGATTCAAAGTAAAGAATGAATAAAATCCTGCTGATTATCTGAACAAAGAAATTGCTGGGATTGGGCTGCTGTGTTTAAATCCAGCCTCAGAGCCTGGGCAAGTCACTTAAACTTCAGTCTTCCTCAATTTCTTCATCGGTCAAAATGGGGATAATAATCATTAGCAGGGCTGCTGTGGAGATTAAATGAGGTAATATTTGAAAAGAGCATAATAATATACACTGAATAGATGCTTGCTTCTTTCTTTCCTGCTCTCAAGAAGCTCATGGAATGGGTATAAGGGAGCAAATAGCTAGGTGCCATAGTGGGCATGGCTATTGGCCAGGAGTCAGGAAGACCTGAGCTGGAACCCAGTTCCAGAATCTTACTAGCTGTGTGATCTTGGGTAAGCCATTTAACCTTGGCTTATTTCAGTTTCCTCATTTGTAAAATGGGAATAATAATAGCGCCTCTCTGGCAGGGTGTTTGTGAGGATCAAATGAGACAATAATAATAAGGCACATAACAGCAGTAGTGGGTGCTCACTGGCATTTTATAGGCACCATCAGGAGATGGCACTATGTACAGGTAAGCTATTTATAAATGTCATCATTATCATCGAGGAGAGAACTGCATGAAAAAGGATCAGAGCCAGACTGGGAAATTGGGAGCCTGCCAAATCTGCACGCAGTATTTGCAGTCAGGTCTTAACCTCTGTGTCTTATTTCAAAACTAGAACCAAATCAAGGCCTCCATTCCTTTCTCCCCTCTTCTTTCTCTTTGCTATTAAAGACATAGAAGAGGAGAAAGTCAAAGTCACCTAAAAGACTTCCACATCTAACCCATTTTTAACCAGAAAATCCACAGCAAAGATCTCTCCTATTCATGCCAATGTTCTCCCAAAGATTTACAATCTGGGAATGTTTCTCTGTCAGATCCTAATTTTAAGGACAACCAGTGCAGTTTTCTGGGAGGCAGTAACTGAGAAGAGAATCCCTCAATCTGTCCCTTCACTCTTGTGTTCATGTCCAAACTGGTTTTATCTGCAAAAAGCACCTTATTTTACCCCATGAGAATTTAACTGCTAGATCTCCAAGAATTTGAGATGCTGTGTCCATTCTTTACATGTTTTTTTTTAAATCAGCTGTCTACCATCCCAAAGGCTCTCACAAAGTATTTCTTAGCTCTCTCCACAGCTAGTGCCCTCCACACCTGGTATTCATTTTGATTCTACTCTGTTCATATTTATATACAAATATGTTCTTCTCTCCATTAGAATATAAGATCCTTGAGGACAGGGACTCTCACATTCTTATCTTTGTATCTGCAGAGTGTAGCACAGGATCTGGCACAGGGAGATGCTTAATAAATGCCAGGTAAATTGGTTGATTTCTTTCTAAGGTCACTCATATTCTCTGCAATTAGAACGAGGCAGTGCAGAATAAGCCAGGACCCTGGCTCACAAAGAAAGTTGATCAAAGGCAACATAGAGATAAGAAGGAAATTTGATTCACAGCAACATCTTGCTCTAAATTGCATAGATGCTGGTAACACTTTTCCCCTCTAAAGCCAACCATCATCAACCCTGTCAGGTGGAGAATAATGAAGAAGAGAAAAGGACACTATCTTGAAACATTGGAGAAATAGAAATGAGTAATATAAGAGTTAGCATTTGTATAGTGCTTTAAGGTTTGCAAATAACTTTATATGCATGATCTGATTTGATCCTCACCAGACCCCTGGGAAGCAGGTGCTGTTATTATTCACAGAGAGGCACACAGAGGTTGAGTATTTTGCCCTGCATCACAAACCTGGTAAATGTCGGAGACAGAATTCAGATCTTTCTGACTCTAAGGGGCAGAATTTCCTTATGTTGCAAAATTAAAGAAGGTATAATTAGGGATGAGGGGAAGGAAGGGCAGAAAGTAAAATAGAGAAATGCAAAAGTATATCTATAGTGAGAGAAAGACAGAGAGATGCAAGAGGTGTGCAGGCTGAGATCCAGAGGAAATAGTCATAATGCCCATCTGACAAGTACCATTTGTTCCCCCATAATCTATCTTCTATAACCCTATTCCACAATCCTGATCCACCTTATAATCCCTCATCTACCTTATAGTGAAGCTGCTTGGAATGAAATATTGTGGAGGAAAAATGCTTGTGTGTGTGTGTGTGTGTGTGTGTGTGTGTGTGTGTGTGTGTGTCAAGTCTGGACCCCACCGCCTCCACCTTCGTTCGTGATGTGCAGACTCACAGAGGTTTACATCTAAGGCTGCACTGCTAGACAAAGGATTCCTGCTGTATTTCCTCCTCATGATGCACCAGGAGCAGAGCCCAGACAACATTTCAGTGTCAGCCTGGCCATGAGAACAATGTTCACGTAGTCTAATAAAATTCTGTAAATAAGGTCCAGTTCCAGTTTGTCTCCTGCTCTGAGCTCAGCAGAACCTTATTTGAGAAACAAAGACCAAATACTCACACTCAAGCAAAAATCAGGGCACTTCAGATATCTCTAAATATGACAGATATTTCATCATCAGTGTTTTATATCCGTAAGGATTCAGTTTTACTCTAGCTGGTTCCCAAATCTGCCTCTGCCATCCCAAGAAATGCAACAGGAATTATCCCCCAGTTCCTAGCTGAAGCCTAGCCAGTCATCTTAGGGTTCTCTAGGCTGGAACACAAAGACCTGGATTTATAGTGTCAGTATGGACATTGAGGGTCAGAATATGGGAGGTGGAAGAATAAATTATAGTGAGTCCTTTTAACTCTTATCAATGGAGCTTCTCAGGGGCAAGACTCCCATGGAAGGAAGAAGTGCAGGAAAGAAAATACATGGAGACAGAGCTAAGGGCAAAAGATATATAGAGATATAGACAGAGACAGAAACAAAGCAGATAGAAACAGAAACAAGAGAGACAGAGATGTAGACAGAAAATAGAGAAAGAATGAGACAGAGAGGTAAAATATCAACCATTTTCAACTTTGTAAGACAATGAGAGAAATGAAAATTAGTTTTCAAAAGCAAAAGTTGGGGAGGGTGGAAGTGTCACTGGGCATGGCAACTGGGGCTTCCCTGTTTTCCCTTTCTTTAAAAAGAGAATGCTTTAAAAGTCAATTCAATTAAAATTAACACCTTCATACAGAGAGGTACTTACTGATAACTCCTGCAGTCCCTGTTGGGCTGACTTGTAAAAACTTCTGCTTTTGTAAAACTACTCACTCTCACTGAATAGAGGGAGAAAGCTTCCAATCACCAGGTCCCCATCTCTGGTGAGGCTGGGGCTGATTTTGGGAAAGGAGAAGAGCTTCTCACTCCTGCACATTGAAGCAGGAAGCTGCAGGAGCAGTGTCAAGGCCAGGGTAGAAAGAATCCAGAAAGTGTCTTTTTGAATGTGAAGCACCCTCTCCCTGAAAATTAGCCAAAGCCCCAAACCTGGGAGGAGCCAAGGAGCTTCCTTGACCAGAGCAAAGTCAACTGCTTGAGTCATTGACTGATGGGGAGCTGACCAGCAACCGAAATGCAGCTGATGTCCAGTGGAGTCTTCCATCTTTAACTGAGGAAACACAAATGAACACAAGTAAAGACCTTGTCTAGGACAAGGACAATGACGTAAGAACACAGGCTGAATTTATAAGGTTTCTCTGGATATTTGACACCACTGTGTCTCTCAATGCCTTTGTATTTAGGTAAGGAAGGAATTGCTTCTTTTACACCTTCTCCTTAGCCAGCAGAGAGACATCTAAGATCATCAGGAGCTCTGGGGACTGTTCTTGCTTGGAGCATCTCCAGCTGTGTCTCTGCATCCAAGGGAAAAACAGAAGTGGAATAACTTGTTTACAACCTCTCCCTGCCATTTCCCAGCAGATCTCACACGATGGGTGAAACTTTGGAGTCCTAATGACCTCTTGTTAACACGGGGTACTCGAGTGTTTCTGTGTGAGAATAGGGCTGAAGGGACTCTGTGGCATGCCCGTGCTGCTACTTCAGGGAGGAGGCTTTGGTAGGGCATCCTAGATCTGGCTGTATCAGATAGGACTCAATATGAACAGAGAACACCAAAGATTTTCTGTTCAGACAGCTGCACTGAGAGCTGACCACTCATGCCCACAGTCTCTACCATGTTCTTTGAGCAAGAGATCATGTGTACCTGGGCTCATCAAACTACCCAACTACCTAAAATATACCCACCTTTCCCAAAAGACTCCATCAGCTCCTCAGTTTCTATGCTCCCTTTTAAGGTTTGAGCCAAAGTTTTCCCAGGTGAAAACCCTAAGGAGAATGACTAGATCAGGACCTATGGTTTCAAGCTCTGGAAGTTTGGGGAACTCCAGGTTGTTGCCAAGGAGTGTCCCAGCCCCAGGGAGGATCCCATAGACTTCGCTGAGCAGTTCTGACTCACCCTGAAAAATATCCCTGTAATCAGCTTCTGACCAGTTTGTGGTGGCAAATAACTGAGAATTGCAGGGATGAGTCAGCTGAGAAATGTTCTCATTTGCCCATTCCACCAGGAGAGGCCTTCACATGCTTGGGGTAGACTCCCCTCTAACTCACCAAAGGTTTTGAGATGCCTTGGTTACCCTCAACCTGGTTAAGCCCATCTGCCAAAATGGCCTGTGGCCATTGAGGTTGCTATGGCTTCTTGGAGCCACAGCTGAGAGTTAGGTGGAACAGGTGGACACCAAAGGTGGAAAGCAGCCCTGAAAAGGACTTAGCAGCCCTCACACCAGATGTACTAGTCTTCACTGAAAACACTCCTATACCCCAGTTAGTTGATTAAATGAGGCCCATTAGTGATTATTAATAGGTAATATATTAAATTAATATATTAATTATTATTGATAATTATTGGTAATTAATTCAAATGGTAAGTGGAATTATCTTTGCAGAAGTTTCTGTGCATTTTTGTGTGTTTCAACCAAACAGGGTGGGTTCCCCACCTGCTGCTAGAAGCAGGCCAGAGTGAGTAAAGCAGACAATGTTTAGGGCCCCTTTTCTAGCACCTTCCTCCCACCAGAAGGTGAGCAGTTGGGTCCTTAAAATGCTTCTCAGACGCCCAGGGGGATGCCGGATCCCACTTCTGCTTCTGGTGAGAAGGCGATGCCAAGGCCTGGGTCACCTGTGTGTGCTGTTGGACTACAGCTCCCAGTGTACCTGCTCTTGCTTATCTGTCACTTGTCTGTTGCCACAGAACTCTGAGATAGGTAAAAATGATACAGTGGTGTGGGTGATGTGTAAAGGAGTAGAAGCAGGATGTGGGTACAATCTAGGGTGTCCAACTCTGTTGTCCTCATCTGCTTTGGGATTCAGGTGATTCTCTGTGGTATCTGGCTGAAAACCACTCTCCACTTCCTAGACACAGACACATACTCTGACGCTGGTCACATCACTATTCATTGGAATGAGGGCTCTGATATTGCCTTCTACTGTGTCCTGGGCTACACGGGCTTCCTAGCCCTGGGCAGCTTTACTGTGGCTTTCCTGGCCAGGAGCCTGCCTAACACCTTCAATGAAGCCAAGTTCATCACATTCAGCATGTTGGTGTTCTGCAGTGTGTGGATCTCCTTCCTCTCCACATTTCAGAGCACCAACGGTAAGGCCATGGTGGTTCTGGAGATCTTCTCCATGCTTGCCTCCAGTGCTGGGTTACTGGGCTGCATCTTTATTCCCAAGTGTTATGTGATCCTGCTGAGGTCAGACAGAAATGCCCAGGATTGGATAAAGAAGAAAGTAGATTCCAAGGACAAAGTATTGTGGTCCATTGCCTAAAAATTTCTGCTTGAGTCCCAAAAGGCTTAAATAGCAATGCGACAGAGTCCTGCCTCTGATGCCATTAAAGGGACCCTTGTAAATCTCCTTCTGACCCATGGTTTGGTCCCCTTACAGTCTATGAAGTGAGAGGTCTGAAAACTGCCACTGCTGCCACTGATTCAGTCACCCCAAGGCCCACTATTCATTTGCTGAGGAGTGGTCTGTGCTGACTTGTGCTGGAGTGTGCTCATTTCTCATCCTGGTGCAACAGACTTTTCCTGTTGAATTTCTAAGTTGTCTTGGGCTGGAAAATTGTTTCCCTCTATCTTTTTGTGGGTTCTGCCATTCTAAAATTTGTTTAGAGTTCTTATTTAAAGGTATTTGGAGGGGTTTGGGAGAGAGCTGAGCAGAATCCCTGCCTTTTCTCTGACATCTTGGCTCTACCTCATGAGTGAATAAATTATAAAACTACTTTGAATTGGCTGTGAAAAATTTTTAGCAAAAGATTTTTTTTTAGTAGAGGAAATAATTAGATATTTTAATTCAACAAGCTAGGCATCTGTGCAAACATTTCCTTGAGCAGAAGAGGTGTGTTTGCCTGAAAGACTATTTTATGGAGAACTCACACAAAGCAGGCACTCACATTGTGGTCAGAAGAAGCAGTCCAAGGACACTCTGAAGGTGTATCTGAAGAAGTTTGGAATTGATTATGTGATATGGGAGAACCTGACAAAGGACTGCCTGTCAAGTCATGCCCTCATCAAAGAAGGCACTGTGCACTCTTTGAGCAAAGCAGAATTGCAGTAGCTCAAAAGAAGCATAAAATTCACAAATTTAGAGACATCTCCAATCCAAATGTTCATGCACAGACTGTGCCCAACCTGTGGCAGAGCCTTCTGGGCTTGGATTGCTGTGCTTAGGCACTATCTGGCACACTGTACCTTGACCCCAACATAATGATGTCATTTTGATACTCTTTGAGAACAAAGAACAAGAAACCAACTAAAAGGAAAGGGCAGGGACTCTTGCTTTTTATCTACTCTGTACATAAAAGGCAGCCTCAGCTACATCTCTTCTACCTGCCTCCTTGTCCTTGTTGCCTTTCATTTGAGCTTAGGGTGACCCTGCTCATGAGGAAGAAAACTAGCCAGAGAGGTCCTGATGAAAATGGTTTCTCTTGCTCTGATTGCTGGAGGCTACTGAGTCTCCTGATCAAGCCATGTTCTCAGCAGAAGGAGTTGAAGGCTTCAAGCCCACCCCCTCAGTAAATATCCACTAATCAGGCTTGAGCTTCATTGGTCTGGGGAGTGTCCTGTCACAAGAGACATTTCTGGTATAGGTATTTTTGAGTCTTCCTTGGAGTCTTTGGTTACTGAGGGAAACCACTGGCTGTAGATTTATTCAATTAATAAATTGATTATTAATTACCCCCAAACTGTCTCCTGGGGCTTTTATTAGTCACGCTGCCTTCTGTCTCCTGGCCCTGAGATTTTTTTCTCCCTTCATGGAGTCCCATGAGGTTCCCCTTAGGTGTAGTTCTCTGTTATTCTCTTTTTTTGAAAATTTATTTTTAATTTCTGGAATTAAGCAAGCATTTCCATGACATAGTACAAAAAAAAAAAGATGATTGGACATGAAACTGCAAATCTACCATGCACAACATGTTATTCCTTTAAAAAATATGACAAAATTATCATATAAATTTCCTTTCCCCCCCTTCTTTTTCTTCCCTACCCCCCCCAGAGATGGCTACCATTATACACAAATACGTATACATCTATAAAATTATTCTATACATTCTTCAATTTGTCAATTCTTTCTCTGGATGTAGATAGCATCTTCCTTCATATGTCCTTTATAGTTAATTTGGGTATTTATAAATAGTCAAAATAACTTAATTGCTTGAAGTCATTACTAAAACAATATTGTTTTTTACTGTACACAATATGCCCTTGGTTCTTCCCCTTCCACCTATAAAATGATGGCTCTATCTATCAATCTTCCTGCTGCCTGGCCCTGGCTCTCAGATGGCATGAACTGAAGTCCCTTCCACACACTAGTTTTCTTCTTGTTAGGGCTCTTCTGTTGACTAATGTATTTCCTCTAATATAGAGTCAGAATTGAACACAATGAACCAGATTTAGTAGAATAAGGTAGCGTATGATGATCCCATCCCTTGCCTAGTACTAGACATATGACACTTAAAAAAATAATATTTCCCCCAATTACATATTTAAACAACATTTGACATTTTTTAAAGTTTTGAGTAACAAATTCTATCCCTCCCTCCCCCCTCTTTCAGACACTAAGCAATCTAATATAGGTCACGCATGTACAATCACGAAGAATATTTCTGTATCAGTCATTTTTACAAGAGGACTAGAATTTTAAAAAAAATGAAAGAAAAAATAAAATGAAAAATAGCATGCTTCCATCTGCATTCAGTGTTAAGTCTTTCTCTGGAGGTGGATAGTATGCTTCATCATGAGTCCTTTCAGATTGTCTTGGATCATTGTATTGCTGAGAACAACAAAGCCTTTCACAGTTCCTCATCATATGATATCACTGGTACAGTGTACAGCGTTCTCCTGGTTCTGCTCACTTCACTTTGCATTAGTTCTCTTAAGCCTTTCGCAGTTTTTCTGCTTTAGCACAATTTCTTTTAGCACAATACTATTCCATCACAATCATATACTATAGCTTGTTTAGCCATTCCCCAATTGAAGGGCATCCTTTTGATGTCCAATTCTTAGCCACCACAAAAACAGCTGCTATAAATATTTTTGCACAAATAGGTGTTTTCTCCTTTTTTGATGTCTTTGACATATAGACATAACAGCGGCATTGCTGGATCAAAGGGTATGTACAGTTTTATAGCCCTTTTGGCATAGTTCCAAACTGCTCTAGAGAATGGTTGGATCAGTTCACAACTCTACCAACAATGCATTAGGGTCCCAGTTTGCCTATATTCCCTCCAACATTTATCATTTTCCTTTTTTATCATATTAACCAGTCTGATAGGGGTGAGACAGCACCTCAGATTTGTTTAATTTGAATTTCTCTAACAAATAGTAGACATGTAACTTAATTCAGCCTTAGATAACATTAGCTTACCAGACTGTTACATAATAAAATTGTCCCATAGGGATCTGTTTTTTCACTAATCACATTCCTTCCCATCTCAAAAACCCTGTGTTGGATTTTTTTCCCAAATGAACTGCTGTATGCTGGTATCTCTCCCAAAAGATATTTGTGAAGTTGATTTTTGAACCAATATGTAATACCTTATTTTTATCCCTATTAAATTCCATCTGACTCAATTATGCCTAATGTTCTACTCAACTAGAGGATTTGGGGAACCTGAAGACTGTCCTTGATTACATTAGCTATCTCATTTGAGTTTCTGTTATCTACAAAATTGATAGAGATATCTCCTTTGCATGTATCCAAATCATTGATAAAAATAACCTAAACAGTACAGTGTAGAAGTTAGAGCACTGGCCTCTAAGGAATTGATTCACTGATTCAGGGGTCAGGGTATAGCTTGTGTTTGAAGAAGAGAGTAGTATAGAAAAGGTGATGTTAAAAGGTTAATGATGCAGATTAAATGAAAAAGTTTGTGGTACATTTTCAGAGACCTCTTTGTTAAACATTCACCAGTAAAACCTGGATTCTGACAACATGTGAGGACCTGGAAAAAGAACCAGCTGACATTCAAATAAATACCGGTGAGATGGTGAATCAGAGGCATCCAATGTTGATGTGGGTTATTATTGAAACTTTTTATGCCTCTGGAAGGAATTGTGAGTCAATGCCCTAGAATAATTTCAGCCCTTGGAACCCACTTTTTTCTTTATCCCTTCTTGGGTATTTCTTTCTGGCCTCAGTAGGATCACATAGCACTTGGGAATAAAGATGCAGCCCAGTAACCCAGCACTGGAGGCAAGGATGGAGAAGATCTCTACAATTACCATGGCCTTACCCTTGGTGCTCTGATATGTGGGGAGGAAGGAGACCCACACACTGCAGAACACCAACATGCTGAATGTGATGAACTTGGCTTCATTGAAGGTGTCAGGCAGGCTTCTGGCCAGGAAAGCCACAGTAAAGCTGCCCAGGGCTAGGAAGCCCATGTAGCCCAGGACACAGTAGAAGGCAATATCAGAGCCCTCATTACACTGAATGATGATGTGACCAGGTTCAGAGTATGGGTCCAAGTCTGGGAAGCGGGGAGAAGTTCCCAGCCAAATACCACAGAGAATCACCTGGATTCCAGAGCAGATGAGGACAACAGAGTTGGACACCCTAGATTGCACCCACATCCTGATTCTACTCCCTGGTCTTGTTACCCTGAAGGCCAGGACCACCATAATGGTTTTTGCCAAAATAGAGGACACGGCCACAGTGAAGACAACTCCAAAAGTTGTTTGTCTGAGGAGGCAGGTGGCTGCAGTGGGACAGCCAATGAAAAACAAGGAGCAGAGGAAACAGAAGGTGAGGGAGCTGAGGACAGTATAGCTGAGAGCCTGGTGATTGGCCTTGACTATGGGAGTGTCTTGAAACTTTACAAAAACCCAGAGAACCAGAGTTGTCAGGAGAGAGGAAGAAACAGCTATAAATGCTAGTGTTATCCCCACAGGTTCTGCAATATCCAGGAAGGTCACAACCTTGGGGAAGCAGTGATCTCTATCCTTATTTGGATACTCATGTTCTGGGCACTTCTCACAGTGGTCCACATCTGAAGAGGAAGAAAATGCAGTCAGATCCTGTCTTGTACAGGAGGAGATACTGCTAGTGACCTCCTCTCTGAGGTTACTTTCCATCTACTCTACATAGCTTCTCATTACCTTACCATTTGAATACTGTGTTCCCTATTAAAAGCTGAATTCTTTGAATACAGGAGCTATTTTGTTCTTCTTTGTATCTCCAGAACTTAGCATTGTGCTTGGCTTTTTGGGTGTGCTTAATAACTCTACTGCCTCTTTCCTGATCTGTAACTAGTGTACCACATTTTGCTAATGGTGGCTTGTATTGTGATTAACATTATGCATGACCTAATAAAGCAAGGTGTTCTAGAGCTGGTTTACTCTGGGTAGATTTCAGAAGATCATTTGTTACATAGTATTCACTGAAGTAAAATACTTTTAGATGCTTTATTAACAAAAACAATGAAAATAACCCTAGTCCCAATGCCTGAAGGACTCTATCATGAATTAAGTTATCTGCATTCATAGAAAAGCTTATCTGTACCTCATTCTTTCCTTGTATAATTTATTTCTTTTGATAATCAAACATGTCTTGACTATCAGACATGAGACTGTATGTGCATTTAAATATTTTTGTTGTTTTATTTCTTAAAATGCAGTTGTGATTCGACCAGTAGAGTAAATCTTTCTCAGGTCTTTACTCTGACTTCTGGAGGCAGCAAGAAATAAGGAAGATGATTTCAAATCTGACCTCAGACCTTTACTAACTGAGTGACCCTGAGTAACTTACTTAACTTCTGCTTGCTTCAGTTTCCTCAAGTGTAAAGTGAAGATAATACTATCTGTCATTCAAGGTAGTTGTAAGGTTCAAATGAGACAATATTTATAAAGTGTTTTGTGAACTTTATGGAACACCATATCATTATTTACCAATGTAGGCAGAGGTGTCTTGTCTGTAAATATAATCTTAGACAGTGATTCTAACTTGGGAGCCACACATCTCCAAATAGGTTTGTGAGAGGATTTCAGAGGGTCCACAAATTTGGATGCATAAAAATACATTATTATTTTTACTAATTCTGCATGAAATTTAGTATTTCCATTTTAAATTAAAAAAACAATATTCTGAGAAGGGATTCATAATCTTCACAGATCACCATGACATAAAAAAGGCCAAGAACTCCTGCTTTGGAAATTTGCATGGAGCACGGAGGGATAACTTTATTTGCCTTGAGTTCCAGAGCCAATATTCAGAAATATGACTTGACCCTAAGCCTTCTAGACTCCAGGATGAGCACCATTTCTGCTGCATCATTCAGGTTTTTTTCTGAGCTCATGATTGTCATGATTACCTTTGAAGTGCACTATTCCCTGTAATGGTGTACATTTGTTATGTGTTATTCTGCATTTCTTACTCCTTATGTGAACTCAACATTATGGCTTAATAAAAAGAGCTCTAGACCCGAAGTCAAAAGACATAGGCATTATTCTTGGCACAGCCTACATCAGGTTTGGAGCAGTCAAGTCACTTTATGGGTTTCATAGATAAAATGAGACATTTGAAAATGATGAGGGCTAAGATCCCTTCCATGAGATTCTATAATTAATCCTTCAATGAGTCTCCCTTGGTTGGCATGTTGCAGTGACACTGGTTCCATTCAGCACATGTTCTTTGGAAACTAATCTGATACTTTGCAGAGAATAAGAGTAATTACTCTTCAATATTGTTTTATTCCACCCAGTGGATTCACATTCCTCCTGAGCAGGACTTGAAATAAGAATCACCCACTCCATTAAAATTCTGTCCTTGCACTATCTCTTTTTCCATTGTCAGTCACAACCTGTATAACTAGACCTTTCTCCCAAATTCCTTCCTTCCTCATAAGACTAATTTCCCAGCAGGTTCCAATTGTTATCTTAAATCACTCCTATCTCCCAATCACTCTCCAACCTCAGACTCCCACCTGGAACTCAGCTCTTCTGTGTCTCATCATCCACTTCAGCTTTTCTGTCTACCTGAGCCCCTTTCAGTGGGATAACCAACTCCAGCCCTATCTTGGTCAATTTCCTCTCCTGGAATTTCTATACAGAAGAAACCTGACATTCTGTGTCAGCTCCCCCACATCTCATATCACCACCTGCAGATAATCAGGCATGTCTAAATGCTAGTCATCTTCATTCATGGATGCAATGGTAAAATTTTAACCACTGGCTTTTTGAAATAAAACATATGCACAACCCAGTTATAAGTTTTAGGCGCGTTATTAACGTTTTCTACATCTTTTTGTTAAATCATAGATAGAACAAATTAAACTCTAATTGACATCATTGGCTGATTTCCTCTGTGTAAACATTCACAGAGAAAATTGAACATTTGCCCCTGAGAGGTGGGTGTGAGGTGGCTGCAGTATAGTTCCCTATCTCACTCACTATGCTCAGCCTCAAAATGAGGACAGTATTTGGTGATCCAGAAGGGGATAAGGGAAAACTTTATTTCATATCGTAGATACATACATTCACACACACACCCATGCATATGTATGCATATATAATATATATACACTATATATACACTATGTATAGATATACACACATGCACACACAACATATATACACATACTGTATAAATGTACATATGTTTGTGTGTGTGTGTATATATATGTGTGTGTATATATATATATATATATATATATATATATATATATACTGTTGATTATATTTGACAAAATGTAGTAATGTCACATATCATTCTCTGGTTGTGTGTCTATTTCCAGGTTTGTGTCCCTATATCATATATTTAGCCTGACTCTCTTTGGTGGTTTATATCATATGGCTGTAGGGTGTGTTCAGGGAAGGCTTGTACTTCTGATGTGAGGGCTGATGAGCCCTTTTCAGGGCTGCTTTTCACCTTTAATGTCTACCTAATCCACCTAACTCTCACCTGTGGCTCCAAGAAGCTATGGTATTTGCAGTGGCCATGGCCTGGTAAGCCATTTCAGCAAATGGGCTAAACCAGGTTCAGGGCAACTGAAGGGCCTCAAGCAATCCTGTGAATTAGGGGAGTGTCTACTCCAAGCATGTGAAGACTTCCCTTGGTGCAATGGGCAGATAAGAGCAATTTGTTCCAACAGCCATGAAGGCAGATGAGCCAGGCTCTGTTGAGTGCTTAGAGCTTTCAAAGACACCAAGATCTTCTACTGCATCCTTAGCCATCATAAATCATCTTGACTCTGTTTCTGCCACTGAACTGTGATGACTCTGGAAGACAGTGAGGCCGATGACTTCATGCAACTCTATGTTAAAGTTTTGACAATTTGTTTACGTATTTTAGATATGAGACTTTTTTTTGATAACCTGTCTATAATTTCCCTCAAATTTCCTGTTTTCTCTAATCTTGGATATATTTGTATTATTTGCACAAAAACTTTTAAATTTAATGTAATCAAAATTATTCATTTTACACCTAACTTTTCTCTCTATTGTTTACTCATAAATTGTTCACCTATCCATAAGTCTGATAAATAATATGTTCCTTGCTCTTCTAATTTTCTTATAATATCTCTCTTTATGTCTAGGTCATGCCTCCATTTTGACCTTACCCTGGCAAATGGTATGAGATACTGGTCCATGTGCAGTTTCTACCATACTGCTTTCCAGTTTCCCAACAATTTTTACCAAATAATGAATTCTTACCCCCAACTCTAAAGTATTTACACTTTTCAAGTGCCAGGTTATTATGTTTATTTTTTGCTGTAAATTGTATGTCTACTCTATTCCATTGATCTACCTTTCGATTTCTTAAGCAGTACCAGATAGTTTTGATAATTACTGCTTTATAATACAGTTTATGATTTTACTGCAAAACCTTTTTCCTTTATGTTTTTTATTAGTTCCTTAGATATTCTTGACTTTTTGTTTTTTCCAAATGGATTTTATTATTTTTTTCTAATTCATTTTTTGATAATTTAATTATAATGGTATTGAATATATAAATTAGTTTGGGTAAAATTGTCATTTTTATTATATTGGCCCTGCCTAGCCATGAACAATGAGTACTCCTACAATTATTTAAATTTGATTTTATTTGCATAAAAAGGTTTTTTTCATATAATTTTACTTATATAATTCCTGAGTTTGTTTTGGCATGTGAACTCCCAGGTTTTTTATACTGTCTAGAGCAGGGTTGGGGAACCTGTGGCCTTGAGGTCACATTGGTCTTATAGGTCCTTGGATCTTTTATTGACGGGATGTGTTCTGTGAAGTTTGAATTCAGCCAAAGGGCCACACTTAAGGATCTAAACCCCTGGTCTAGAGTTATTTTTTATGGAATTTGTTTTACTATATCTTCTTGCAGGATTTTGTTTGTGATATATAGGAATGCTGATGATTTATGTGGATTTATATTATATCCTGCTACTTAGCTAATACTATTAATTGTTTCAACCAACTTTTTAGTTGTCTTTGTATTTTCCAAGAACATTATTATATCATCTGCAAAAATGATAGTGTTATCACCTCATTCCCTATTCTGATTTCTTCAATTTCTCTTATATTTATTGCCAGGATTTGCAATACAACATTGAATAATATTGATGACAGTAGGCACCCTTGTTTCACACCTAATCTTACTGGGAAGTCCTCTAGTTTATCCCTATCAAAAATAATGCATGTTCATGGCTTTAGATAAATGCTTTTTTAAAAAAATCTATATAAGTAAAAATCCATTTATACCAATGCTTTCAAATGTTTTTTAATGGAAATGAGTGTCGAATTTTATTAAAAGCTTTTTATGCATCTTCTGATATAATTATATAATTTTTTGCTTTTATTATTGATGCAATAAATTATGTAAATAGTTTTCCTTGTGTTAAACCATCTTTGATTTCCTGATATAAATCCCATTTAGTCATAATATGTAATCTTTGTAATATATTATTTTAATCTTTTAGCTTGTATTTTATTCAGGATTTTTGCATTCATATTTATTAGTGAAATCAGCCTATAATTTTCTTCTTCTGTTTTTATTCTTCCTGGATTAGTTATCAATGTCATATTTGTTTCATAAATTAGGTTTAGTAGAACTTCTTTACCTATTATTCCAAATAATTTATTTAACATTGGAATTAGTTAATTTTTAAATGTTTGATAGAATTCACTTATAAAGTCACCTGGTCCCGGTGCTTTTCTCTTAGGAAGCTCATTTAAGACCTGTTCAACTTCTTTTTCTAAGACAGGTCTATTCAACTCTTTTTGTGGTGGCCAAAAATTGGAAATCAAAGGAATGCCTATTAATTGGGGACTGGCTAAACAAGCTTTTTTTATATGATTGTAATGGAATATTACTGTGCTTTAAGAAATGATGAGCAAGGGGCAGCTAGGTGGTGCAGTGGATAGAACACCAGCCCTGAAGTCAGGAGTACCTGAGTTCAAACCTGGCCTCAGATCAAACACTTGACACTTACTACCTGTGTGACCCTGGGCAAGTCACTTAACCCCAATTGCCTAAAAAAAGAAAGAAAGAAAGAAAGAAATGATGAGCAAGATGATTTCAGAAAAACCTGGAAAGACTTATATGAACTGATGCGCAGTGAAGTGAACAGAACCAGGAGAATGTTGTACACAGTAACAGCAATATTGTTCGATGAAGGACTGTGAATGGCTTAGCTATTCTCAGAAATACAGTAATCCAAGACAATCCCAGAGAACTAATGATGAAGTACACTGTCCACTTCCGGAGAAAGAATCGATATCATTTTCACATAGACTGAAGCATGTTGTTTGTCACTTTCTTTATTTCATTTAAAAAAATATTAATCAAATCTTCTTGTATAAAATGACCAATATGGAAATGTAATTGTACATGTAGAACCTATATCTGATTGCCTACCATTTCAGAAAGGAAGCAGGGGATGGAGGGAGGGAATGAATTTGGATTGGAAAACTTTAAATAAAAATGTTAATAGAAAAACAGGTCTATTGAGATATTCTATTTCATCTTCTAATCTAGGCAATTAATTTTTTTTTGTAAATATTCTTCCATTTCACTTAAATTATTAAATTTATTGTCATGTAATTGGGCAAAATAACACCTTTTAACTGCTTTAATATCATCTTCATTGGTGATATATTCACCCTTTTAATTTTTAATACTAGTGATTTGGTTTACTTCTCTCTCTTTTTAAATCAAATTAACCAATTATTTATCTATTTTGTTTGTTTTTTCATAAAACCAGCTCCAAGTTTTATTTATTAATTCATTGTTCTTTTCTCTGAATTTTATTCATCTCACATTTAATTTTTAGGATGTCCAATTTAGTGTTTACTTGGGGATTTTTAATTTGTTCTTTTTCTAGTTTTTTTTTAAATTGTATACTGAATTCATTAGGGAGCTCTTTCTCTATTTTACTGATGTAAACATTTAGAGATAAGAACTTTCCTCTAATCACTGCTTCTGCTATATCCCATAGGTTTTGATATGTTATCTCAATATTGTCGTTCTGTTTAATGAAATTATTAAACCCACACAACTTTACAATTTTTACCTCTCTCAAACTCCTGTGATGGTAGGCAAGTGCCTATCACAATGGCAGCCCAGGCCATAGAGTCATCTTCTCACTGGAAGCAGCAGTGGTATTTGGCAAACCCCCAGGTGTCTGAAAAGTTTTTTAAGGACTAAACCACTTACCTTCTGGTCTGAAAAAGGGACTAGAAAAAGCAGCCTAAAAATTGTCTGCTTTACCCAACCCTGGCTTGTTTATCTCAGCATGTGGGGATCCGTTTCATGTCAAAATACAAAAAAAGTACAAAAACTTCTGAAAGATGATTTCACTCACCACTAGTACATAAAATGTATGCACATTTATGAATAACATGAAATCCAGGAGACCTAAAAGATGAATAGCACTTGTTTCAGGAGAACTCAGCAGATATCGCTTCCAAATACCAGTGCTGAGTGGAACAAGGCTGGCAAATGAATGCCACCCTAGGTTTAGTAGTCAAAATTAATCTAGTCAACCAGCTGGTATGCCTCCCAAAAGAAGTGAACTCCAGGCTCATAACAAAACAATTGCCACTTGCAAGAAAGTGCCATGCTACCATCGTCAGTCCCTATTTTTCTACCATGACTAATCCTTATGAGGTCAAAGAAAAATTTTATGAAGACCTGGAGAGCCTCATCATCAGTATGTCAAAAGAGGACAAGCTTATAATTCTGAGTGACTTTAATGCAAGACTACCAGACATGGCAAGGAGTCCTTGGAAGCAATGAAGTAGGAAAGAGCAACAGCAATGCTCACTTACTACTGAAAAATTGTGCATCTTATGACCTTCTTATCACCAACATTGTCTTCCATTTACCTTAAAGCAATAAAACTTCTTGGATGCACCCTCACAGCAAATATTGGCATTGAATAGACTACGTCATTGTTAGAAGAAGAGACAGACAGTATGTGAGAGTGACAAAGGCAATGTGTAGTGCAGAGTGTTGGACTGATCATAAACTTGTTGTCTTCACCTAAACATTCACATTCAACAAAAACAGTGGCCTGAAGGCAAGACATCTGCTAGAGAACTTAATGTCAAGGGATTAGAGTGCTTTTCTGAGTGGTAACAGTTCCTTGCCAAATTGGAGGGAAAACTGAACCAAGACCTGATTGGCAACAGTGTAGCAGAAAATGAGTGGGCAGCTTTTAGATATTTGGTATACAATGCTGCATTTACTCAACTGGGTCAGAACATTCATAAATATCAAGACCGGTTGGATGAAAATGATGGAGAGTAAATTGCTCTCACTCTCCAATATTGACCTCTGAAAGAAAAAAAAAAGACAGCAACAGAAAACAGCACCCAAGAAAAATCCTGGAATATCAGAGCCAGTGGAAAGATGAGGTAGAGCAGTTTTTTAGCCCAGGAAACTTGGAGGATCAGCAAGAAAGGTCTGTTTTACTCAGGTAAAAGGAGAACACATTCCAGGATAGGAAGTGTCCCAGCAAGTCAGCAGCAATCTCC